GGGTATCGATCCCCTTGCCCCTCGCATGCAAAGCGAGTGCTCTACCATCTGAGCTACACCCCCATTAACAATAAAGGGGAGGGGGAAAGTAGGAGTAGTAAGAGTAGTAGGTATAGTAGGTATAGTAAGAGTAGTAAGAGTAGTAGGTATAGTAAGAGGAATAAGAGATGTAAGAGATGTAAGAGATGTAAGAGATGTAAGAGATGTAAGAAATGTAAGAAATGTAAGAGATGTAAGAGATGTAACAGTAGTAAGTATAAGAAGTGAGAATAGATATAATAGATAAGAAGTGGAATAATAAAAATAATAAGGATAATAAATATATATAATATATATAATATAAATAATATAATAAAGGTATAGAGTAAGAATAGATATAATATATATAATAAGTATAATAAGTATAATATATAAGAGGAATAGATAAAGTTAATAGTATAAGTGACTAATAAATAAGAATATATACATATATATAGTATAAAAAGTGAACTCTTCAACGGGGATTCGAACCCCGGTCTTTCACGTGACAGGCGAAGATACTAACCAGCTATACTATTGAAGACTTCTATAAGAAGGTAAGAGTTGTATATATATACATGAATAAGTGTAATATATGAAGGTAAGAGTTGTATATATATATAAATATATAAATAAATATATATATATATGAATAAGTGAATAGAAGATATAAAATAGATATAAAAAAAAAGATAGAATATATATATAAATAAGATATAATAAGTATAAAATTTATAAAAAAATATATAATAAGAGATAGCAATATTAATCAAAGACAATGTGGCCGAGCGGTTAAGGCGGCTCCCTGCTAAAGAGTTTCCATTTGGAGCGTAGGTTCGAATCCTGCCATTGTCGTTTTATTCATAAAAATATAAGGAAAGTCGGTCGTTTTAAACATAAAAATATAAGGATATAAGTTAATAAAAGATAAAAGAATAAATGGATATATATAAGGTACATAAATATATATATATATACATATACACATATATAAAATAAGAATAAACATAATAATATATATATATATATACATAAATTTTTAATATAATAAGAATAAGGAAGTACTACTGTATATAAAAGAGAATATAAGATATATAAGAAATAACATAAAAGAATAAAAGGTAATAATAGATAATAATGGAGGTGAGGGGTATCGATCCCCTTGCCCCTCGCATGCAAAGCGAGTGCTCTACCATCTGAGCTACACCCCCATTAACAATAAAGGGGAGGGGGAAAGTAGGAGTAGTAAGAGTAGTAGGTATAGTAGGTATAGTAAGAGTAGTAAGAGTAGTAGGTATAGTAAGAGGAATAAGAGATGTAAGAGATGTAAGAGATGTAAGAGATGTAAGAGATGTAAGAAATGTAAGAAATGTAAGAGATGTAAGAGATGTAACAGTAGTAAGTATAAGAAGTGAGAATAGATATAATAGATAAGAAGTGGAATAATAAAAATAATAAGGATAATAAATATATATAATATATATAATATAAATAATATAATAAAGGTATAGAGTAAGAATAGATATAATATATATAATAAGTATAATAAGTATAATATATAAGAGGAATAGATAAAGTTAATAGTATAAGTGACTAATAAATAAGAATATATACATATATATAGTATAAAAAGTGAACTCTTCAACGGGGATTCGAACCCCGGTCTTTCACGTGACAGGCGAAGATACTAACCAGCTATACTATTGAAGACTTCTATAAGAAGGTAAGAGTTGTATATATATACATGAATAAGTGTAATATATGAAGGTAAGAGTTGTATATATATATAAATATATAAATAAATATATATATATATGAATAAGTGAATAGAAGATATAAAATAGATATAAAAAAAAAGATAGAATATATATATAAATAAGATATAATAAGTATAAAATTTATAAAAAAATATATAATAAGAGATAGCAATATTAATCAAAGACAATGTGGCCGAGCGGTTAAGGCGGCTCCCTGCTAAGGAGTTTCCATTTGGAGCGTAGGTTCGAATCCTGCCATTGTCGTTTTATTCATAAAAATATAAGGAAAGTCGGTCGTTTTAAACATAAAAATATAAGGATATAAGTTAATAAAAGATAAAAGAATAAATGGATATATATAAGGTACATAAATATATATATATATACATAT